GAAAATGTTTCTGACAAACTCTGTCTTCCCGCTGCTTCGGATTCGTATAATTCAAACAATCACGAATGTCGAGAATACGTTATTATTTTAAAGAAAAATACTCGGATGATTTATAATTTTCGCAAACAAAAGTTTGAATAAGTTGTTCGCGACACGGGTACAGCGAAAGCAATGTTAAAATTGCATACAACTAACTCTAAATGTTCGCAACAATATTATTAAATCAGGAAAGACTCGCTGCGTAAGCGACAGCCAGTGTTATACACAACAGCTATATATACATCGATCGCCGCGGTCTTCGATAATTCATTCGCACATTCGGAGATCGAAACAGAGCGATATAAGCTGCTGCCCGCGCCGAAGTCGCTTCAGTCGAAACGGAATTTGCAGAATGACGCTCTATAGAGACGCGTGTGCTTGTGTGCCTTACAAGGTGCATTCGCCTAGGACCGGCGAGGCCCGAGGGGAGGACTTTTTTGAGCGAGAGGGGTCCTAAAGGAGCCAAAGCGACCGAAGGAAGAAGCGCAGGGGAACGAACCGGGCTGGAAACCCTGCGGGCATTTTCTGGCATAGAGCCCCGTGTTCGTTCCCCCGCGTGCTCTCTCCCTCCCCTCCCCTCCCCCCCCCGCTTACTCCTCTCACGTATCGTATCAAAGAGGCGACTCGAGGGAAAGGAATGAGAGGAAGATCGCCGATCGTTGCCCGTATGCCTCGAACGAACGACCGTTTAAAACTCCATTACGCCCGTTCGTGATCCACGGCGCGATCACGGGGTACGCTCCTCACCGTGGAAGGCACCTACAAGTGAACTGGAAAAGGGTTCGACCGATTACTCAACGTGACACGTTGATCCCGAAGCTACGGGGGAGGAAGGAGACCGTCTTCAATGTCGAGGAATTGAAGCTTCTCGGAGTCTGCGGGACGCGGGCCCGCGATCGTCGCGATCGTGCACATCGTGTGCCCTGCTTGAATATATATATATATATATTCGAGTAGGCCCCTTGATGCCCAGAATTCTTGAAGAAATATTGTATATAAATGCTCGCATTAAGCCCTTAAGTTATCTCTGTTAAGCGGCGTCTACAATAAGACTTAAGTTTTAAGAAAATTGATCAATCACAATCGATTATTCATCTCACGTGAGAAAAATAATCGATTGTGATTGATCAACTTTCTTAAATCTCAAGTCTTAAAAGTGTCATTGTAGACACCGCTTTACATTTCAGAGCACATTAAAGTAGCATTAAATAATTACTTAATGTACGCGGTACGTTATTATTCAGTAGCTGAGAAATTATAATATTAACAAAATTAATATACATCAGTGATAAAAAAATTTTAAAATATTTGAAGCATGTACAATTATGTAAACACGTGCAATTATGTCAATTTTTTTCATTAAAGCATTTTTGCAAAACATGATTATATATTATACATTATATAATAAAAATATGTCTGCTACTGATTGGCAGCTAACTGCATATTTTTACATCTTGAAACAAATTTCCAATTCATATCCTTCTTAAAGACATAAGTAATAAATACACAGTAAACTGTGTGAAAAAATTGAATACTCGTCTCACGTGACTTTTCTAACATAAATTTACAAAAGTTCGTGAAACAGAGAGCCCCTCTCGACGCACGCGATAGAAGTTGCAATTTTTTTTTCCAATGGGGAAACGATACATCAATAAAAATCCCGAATTCCGAGACAACCTTCAAAAATTAATTCAGCAAATTAATCACGCCTCTCCTGCCTCGCCGATACTTTATGAAGACACTCAAGTGGGCACACAGGACACCGAGAGTGCCGCGAAGTGGTTGAAGTTAATGGGCTACCCCGTATACGTATCAGTGGCTAGCCTTCGCACACGTTCGCCTTGAGTATCGGCGAGTCTGCGAAGTACTCTGCATTTGGAAGTGCGTCTGCAACGCGCGCGCCGTCGCGCGCGTTGCAACCGCGATCCATTCCGAGGTTAACAAGGTTGCGGAAGAACGCGCGATTCGAAGGAGAGTCTCTCTCTCTCTCTCTCTCTTTCTCTCTCTCTTTCTCGAGGCACGCGGAGAAGAATTTTAGTCTTCCGCTTCTGCGCAATCAGCCGGGCCGCTCCATCTCTGTCGGCTTAGCGGCCGACTACCCTAGGCGCATCCTCCTTTTGATGCATCGAACGCGCCGCGTGCGCGTACAACCCGTGCGACTCGCGGCGCGCAACAACCCCTTCGCTACTCGCGCGCGCACCCACACAACCCACGACGTGTATACGCGCGCGCGCGCGCGCGCTCACACACGCGGGCGCGTGCTCGCGAGCGAGAGAGAAGAAGCACCTGGGAGCATGCGAGATCGTCATGAGGGGATTAAGAGCTTACCAGATTGGTGCAGATTGCCTTAATTTCTCACGCAGCGCCCGGAGAGTCGAGACGCACGGTGACTCGCGGCGGAGCGATGAAAAAATTCTCCGGCGCTCGATTTGCTAATGCAATAAAGATATACCAACGCAACGCTCTTGTTTTCCTCTTTTCTTTTTTTTGCTGGCGGCGCGGATTTTTTCGGGAAATTTATGGCACTAATTGTGAGTACGGTATGTAACGGAAAATTTACTCTCTATAAAAAAGCTCTTAAGCTTTCAACTTATCATTCACGAAAAAATTTGTATTATTTCGCAAAAAATGGAATACGTTCGCCATTAGAGTATTTATGTATTGCTCTTAGAAATATCTGTAGTATTGATATTCAATGCGCGAGTAATTCTTAAAACGGAATTTTGAAAGTTCAAGTGTGTACTTGTCTATTTACGGATTTGTATTCGCGCTTCTTTTTGAAGGGTCAAGCTACCGAGAACTGCCGAATAACGGCAGAACTATGCATACCTCTGCAAGCCTATACTGCCAATTTTAATTCCACTAACGCACGCGAGCTTGATTAAACGTAACGAAACTTTTAGGACACATCAATCATCAGATTCGACCACATCAACATGAATAAAGTGTCATGCGAAGATATTAAAAACGAGTCGTAAATTAATGTCTCCATTATGTTTCACGGAAATAAGAAAAATCGAAGTACATTACGATTAATAAATTACTTCTTAGGTTGTATGTATATTAAGATTCTGTAGACTTGTTAAACCGACACGTACAACTTGACATTTTGACAGGTGAAATTGCATTTAGACTAAACTGCACTTAGGATGCTTTCTATAATGTTACGAAACCGAGATAATTGCGATTGTCGGCCTGAAGTATTTCGGCAAACCCGAGTGTATGTATGTATCTTCTAAGCAGACGGAAGTTTTCACTGGATTAAAGTTTCCTCGATCGTGGTGTAACCACGTCTAGAAAAAAAAAAAAAGACTAAATTGGCGTGAGACGGAAAGCACAAAGAAGGAGCATCGATTTTGATGCGGGGAAAAATAGCCTGATACACGTGTTCCAGAGAACAAACAAACACGCGACCGTACATCTTATTCCGGCCCAATCATCATTGTTAATATATAACCGTATCTTGTCTGACAAATCGTAAATGATCGCGGTCTTCTGGCTTCCGCCTAATTCGCCGCGTATATGCATAGAAAACAACATTTTCTGGCGACCCGTGCACCTCCGCAATTTCGTCGGTCATCAGTCGCAACATTGCGAACGTAACGACGATCTTTTGTGATGCGCATCTATTATTACGCCTTGAAAACCGCTTCGCGGTACTGAGCATTATTTCCTTTCGCGATAAAAGCATTATTTTAATCGCGATGCAATTGTCATTTTTGATAAAAGGTCCAAAAGAGAAGTAAGGCTTATAATGCCAATTCAAACTAAATATATAATGCGCATAACGCGCGATAATATTTGATTCATCATCGAATAAGTTAAAACAATATGTTGCAGAATATTTCATGATGAAAAATTAGAAAAAACAATTGTTTCCACAAAAGTTTACGATAACAGGCCATACATACAATCTTCGCTTAATACAGTAATACGAAACTAAGCATAAAGTGCACTCGAGCTGCTCATGCGAGAACGTCTAACTGAATGAATACCGCGAGGTGTCTGTGAATCAGTCATCGGCATTAACTTTACGAGCAAACGCACAACTTTACGTGCGAACACACGGCTTCGCCCCCATTAGCACGGGCTTCAAACCTGTAAATTATGTATGCGTTTCGAACTGCGATACTTCGAAGCCTTTCAGAGCTAATCCTACAGTCCGCTTTTTACGTCACTTCAACTTCCCGAGCGGAAAATGTTTGCCAATTAAACAACGAAAATGTTAAATCACATTGAGAGAATCAACGTGATGATTTTATGAGAGACGGCAACTTCGTGCAATTTAATATTTTGTATTAAAATCATATTTTTTGTCATGATAGTTTATGTCAATCGTAGTATAAAAATATCATTCTAATAATATTCATTATGTAAATGTTTATTTTTATATGCAAATATTTTGCTCGTCTTTAATTATGAGGTAATCTCGTATATTTATTTCCTTCCCTACTCGGCCAATAATTACTTCCTATACTATGCTTAATTGAGTTAGAATAAATATGCAATATCATCATCACACCTTACTCACTTTTCCTTTTAATTAAACATTTATTTCTCTCTGCTGTATGTACATGTGAGCAAAATTCATCGTCGTAATGTTCATTGATTTTCAGAAGTCCTTCGAAACATAAATCTCTGTTAATCTTCTATATGTTTTACATTTATAAGGTCAATATTCCTTTTGAGTATTTGAAGTCCTTTTATTCAAGTATGTCACTCTAACATTCCCAAACGAATCTTTTAATCCTAAATACAACAGACTGGTTACACTTTCATCTCAATACTTAAAAACGAGAACGACTTATATATCGTTTCGCGACTCGGAGGTAAAAAGAAAAGCCGCGCATACAACACCCCCCCCCCTCCCCCAACAGCCTATCCTTCCGCTTCCGAGCCACAAAATAACATCGGTCGTTCTCGTTCCGTCTGTCGTATCGATTTAACGGACTCGCACCGACCTCTTTCCGTTCCGACGCCGTCTCTTGGTGGCGTAGACGGTCCCCAGCTGGCTCATGGCGACGGGGTTGTTGGGGCCCGACGCCGACGTCGGGGTCGGCACCGGCGCCGAAGTGGGCGTCATCGCGGGATCAACGACGTGGGGCTGAGGGTGAGTGGCGGTCAGGGTGAGCTGCGATCCCGGGGGATAGCATGCCGCCGTCACGTAATCCGTCGGCGCGAGGGACGCGGTCGGCGGTCCACAGATCCCGGCGATCCCCGGTGCACCACCGCCCCCGCTGCCGTTTCCGCCGCCGCCGCCACCGCCGCCGCCGCCTCCGCCGCCGCCGCCGCCGCCGCCGCCACCACCGACACCGACACCGACACCCCCGACCACCCCCAGCCCCGCCGAGGCGGCTCTGTCCAGCGCGTACACCGTGCAGACCGTGACGCCCCTTGCCTCTAGCGACGACGCTACGTCATCCTCTGTCACCGTCGGTGCCACTGCCACCAGCTGCTGGCGTCGGGGCACTTGCTCCTGATGACACCACCGTACGCGCGCGGCCGATTACGACGCGGCAGCTGCGACAGCTGTGCTCTCGCCGCCGCAAATTCTGGCCCTGTCAAGCGAAGTCGTGCGACCAGTGTCCCCCGTGGACGCGGGATTCCTTCGACGAAACGAGAATCGGACTGTCTACAAGTTTATCACCCCGTCAATTGACATCCAACGGCTTCGACCGATAAAGAATGGCGAACTGTCATTGGATTGTAAACGGAGCTAAATAGCTTAGCTGGACGATTTTCAGAGAGTTCACATCGAGTGATTGCACCCTTCTTCCTTTCACAAAACGTCGTGATGAATGCGTAGCGTCGTTAGAAAATCCTCAGGCTCGGCAAGCGAGTCGTCGTTATCGTTCCCAATGTAAAATTCGCAGTACACTGTACACGGAGCAAGATCATCTTTCCACACCATTCTCCACGGGACAAGTTCACTGTCACCAGGAAATCACGGCGCGACATCAATCAGATTGCAATCGCTAGTCATTCACTTTCCCGCCCGACAGAATCGGAGTCAGCAACCGCATTACGATACACTATACGGGGGAACGTCAGCAACGTTCAGGAATCAGCAACGATCAGGACACTCGGACGGTGCGATACGATTATCGCTTTTGGGCCCGGGATGCAAACGAGGGACTCGCCCCATCCCTCCGCTCCGATATTACGAACAGTTTCGAGCGCGTTATCTAATCCTCACTGCAGATGCACGTAAATTTCACTCTCACTATCCCGACGAGCGCCAGCAGGCCCTTTCGATACTCGGTACCACTCGATATTACTATCATCCGGTTGCGTGACGGTCGTACGACGCGTTATCTCGGTATATCTGCCCAGAACACTCGGAATATCCAGCCGGTCGGCCGATGCGAGACGTTTATCACCAAGACTTCCCGATCCGGTCGTGTCACGTGCGCGCGGAAACTGACCCGCACATCCCTCTCTCGTCACACGATCATCGTCCTCTCGTCCCCACCCTCTCCCTCGATCGGTGTCACAGTCCCTCCCTTCTTATCGCGAAAGAGAAAGCCACCTCTTTCCCCTACCAGGGTCACTTCTTCCTTCACCACCCTTTGCGATCCGTCGGAGCGAGTCGATTGACGCGAATCACCGAATGGGTGAGCCCGTTCAAACGCGAACCGTCGCGATGATCCGTCAGTCGTAGGATCTATCTGCACTTAATAGGCTGGAGAACTCGAAACCCAGTGGCGAACGCGAAGTGTCTAATTGGTAGGTTGGTGGCGAAACCCCTCGTGTGCCTGGCAGGTTCGCGGTAAGCGGAGTGAGCGCGTACGAATGCGGTGCTCGCTTCGTAGAAGCGTATCGTGTACTGGCGGGCCTGCCGGGCGTAGCATAAGTCAGGAGAGCGTGGCATAGATCGGAGAGTGGAGGCGCAGGCCGGTGGTGGTGGGCCCAGCAGAGGAGTAACCCTCCATGGGTCGACCGGGAGACCGGCCGCCGGTTTCTATCCACCGTGACGCAGAGGGTCACCACTCTGACTCCCACCCGCAACGCTCGCCACGCCTACGTATAAGCCGAAGAGACCAATCGTGGTGCCAGCATGGCGCTACCGGCCTAACCACCGCGGAACCACCGATGGAACGATACCATCGCGCGCGCCTCGAGATTCCACCTACTCCCGGCGCGGTGCTTTTCCTTCTTCCTCCGCGTCCGCGTCCACCTCCTTACGGCCGAGTCCGCGAAAACCTGTACGTAGCGCCTATCTGCTCTCGGTAACGCATTGATAGAAACGCGCAGGTTATTTGACTACTTCTCGAACAAGTCCGGAAGAATGCTTGATATTTTTTTATCGAGCGGAAATACTGCAGTTCATTTTACAGGGAAGATAAACAATGCGAAATCTTCTCAAATAAAAAAAAAATTTGATAGTTACTCATAATATGGAAGTAATATAAAATGGACAATGATCGTGATGGCATGCAACATCTTGCATTACGTCATTAAATTATGTCATAAAGCATGATCAGAGGATGAATCAATCTTTTCAAACTTGGACCGCAAAATTATAAGAAATTGATACTAATATTTAGAATTTAATAAAATAAAGAATAAAATAAATTTTATAAAATAAATATTAATTGAGATTTTGATAACAATTAAAATTAAGTATTCATTCATAACATAAATTAAAGCTACGAGATTATAATACAATATTGAAATATATCAATCATAATTTTTAATTTCTTTTTGTTTCATTTAATCAAGCTTTAAATATTGTAGTGTATAGTAAATATATAGTAAAAATTAACGAAAAAACAAAATTTTAGCTCATGCAAATTGACCATCACATAAGATTAAATCGTATAATGGTGTCATCAGAAGCAAATTAAAAAGAATGCACATCTTACGATCAAGGTTCAATCTAGTAAACCCGCATCTGTATAGACACAATAACACGTTTCCGCTAAACAATCGCAACGTGACATCGATCACACGCGCTTTGGTAATCCAATTGCAGGCCACAAAATACATAAATTGCCGGCCACGGTGCACGATAAGTTAGACCGGAACAATAATAATGCTCCGCGATCGTTGACGATTCCCGTGCCGCGCATCATCCTGACGAGTGACACGTATATACACACTCGCGCTCGTCCGCGGCGACACGTTCCCTCTTATCTGAAGAGCCTGGGCTCTTCGTGAACGCTATCTGATCGCGAGACATGAGCGATATCACCGTGGTTAGAAGCGACAGCAGTTAAAGCGAAAGTTACGCCGCGCCCGGTATCATCGATACTGTATGTAGCAATATTACGATCAAAGGAAGATTCAACGGCGTCTCGCGGGGGCCGCGACGAAAGCCATTTCTCATGCACCCGGGCATACATCGTAAACTGATATCGACAACGAGGATATATGCCGAAAACGGAGTTCGTCGGTGATCGAAACGCTTGGGCGACACGCGACGCAACGCTCGATTGTTGTTGACTATATTTTGTGTTATCAGCGACGTCGAACACGGATAGTTTCCGAACATTATATTGTTACGATGAGGATTTATATTTTTCGAAGGTTCGCGAGGTATCGAAATATAGTATTGACGAATCACTGGCTAAGATAATTCAATTTACCTTTACAGGAAATGACGAGCAGTTTAATATTTGACTAGAAAGCGAATAATCTTACCGCTTCGTTTAATTTTCCTACTGCGAAATCCGCATTTTTCATTCACGTCATTCCCGAGCCGCCGGATGGCGCGAGTTAACGCGATACACGAGCCGTCGCTTGCACATCGCGTAACGTCAAGATTAATTTCATTATAATAATAATTACAATCGTGTAAATTATTCTTCCTTAAATTAGGAAAGAAGCAGCTAATTTTATAAGAAACCGATAAAAAGTGTTATTAATATTACCCAATTTATAATTAAGTTTTATTCGTTTAAGATAAAACCTTAATAGTTTATACATGATTGTGGCAATATATTTTGTAACATAACAATAAATTATGATAAAATATTATCGTGATATTATCGTATCAAATTAAATTTTGATTATTATTTTTAGCGCGATCCAACACAGTTTTATTAGTACTGAATCGTTAGAAATAATTAAAAATTAGTCATAATAAATTGCGACAATTTTTATCGGTCTACTTAATTTTACGATTACTATCTTTGTTATTGTTTCAAGACGTTCAATTCTGCATTCGACAGATAGAAATTTTGACTTCCATGCTTGTGGTTGTCTGATTCTCATTTTATCTTGAAATCAGTCGATATTTTTATGTAAAACAAATAAAATTCACAACAGAATTCCATGTTATGTTTAATACACCGAATACATAATGAGAATATCCTTCAGTAACCCTCGCATCCACTGCGGCAATCTCCTTCTCCGAATTCGCGCCACTTGCCTATTACCGAATAATAAATACCCCGCAGACTCTGTCTTGTTTTAATAACGTATTACACACCTTTTTACGAAAAATCTTATTCGCGTTAAGAACTCATTTCACGCATATGGGACACCAGAGCGCTATGCGGATGCTACATCGGCGTCGCGCCGTGCCGGGACTTCTTATACACACGCGAGACCCGCGGCCGTGTACCAAGCTCTCCTCTTTCATCCACAGCTGACTCGTCCTCGCCCTCGACCGCCCTTCCTTCTCTCATTCCGTCCGCGTACGTTCCATCGTGTCCTGTCTCTCTCTCTCTCTCTTCTTCTCTCTCCTCTCCTTCGTCTGAGTCACGCGAATTCGGGCGACGTAGCTCGTTTACTTCTTCACCGGAATCGAGAGATCTGACAACTTTTACTTTCGTCCGCCGGGCGCACGTATGCACATCGATGCCCCTTAATTATGAAACTTAACACCGCGTAACCGACACCGCGTCACTTTTTAATATGGATGCGACCAGCCCCGAATTAATGCGCGCGGCGCGTTTCTTCTCGCTGCACAAGTTCGGAGCGAGGAGTTTTACGAATAAAAACAGGAAGTTGCAGTTGGAGGTGCGATTAAAATTTTCACAGAACATTTCCATGCGTATCGTATAAACGCGCTAGTTATCACTTATT